AAGTTCTCTATTAGTAGAAGAGCCAAAAGATCTGACTTCAGATCAGAGTTATGCAAACATATGAAGAGAAAAGCATAAAATTACAATTATTGCTAGGTATTCTGTCATTACTCATCATTAATAACAACAGCAATTATTCTTGCTTTGTCTATATATATTTTATAAATTAATTCTTATCAGCATTTATAATATGGAAAAATTGTTCAGCTCCCTAGGGTAATGATATCTAACCTAGAGATTAGACAGCTCTATGGCGGAAGCACGAATAGGGTCAGGTGGTTTACAAATGCCATGAGATTGTATACAAAATTTGTAAGCGTGCATATATTTCAAATTATTAAAGGATTGTTTAAAGAGACGAATAGCAACCTCTGCCATAGTTAGAAAAGCTAAAACAAGAGAAAGCAAACAATTCTTCCCATACTCACAGAGTGAGTCAGTGTTAATATGAGATAAAGTAACCTGGGATTTCTGAATTCAAGACTCTGTCTAGATTATTTTCCCTAAGGGATCACATATCCAATGAGAAGATCCCCTAGAAAAATAAAACCTCACCTATTTATTGGAAGAGAAATCATAGGCTAAGAAAAGAATAAAGTTCATTCTTAATATCATTATATTAGTTTTTGAAGGGAATTTGCAAAACAGGTAAGTCAAAAAGAATCCTTTCATTCAACAAACATAAAGGGCCCCAGTAGTGCAGTCCCCAAGTCTAAATGCCTTCTCTTCAAAGTTAGTTACCTTGAAACACATAAACCTGACCCTTGAACAACACAGAGATTAGGAACACTGCCCCACTGCATGTTGAAAATATGCATATAACTTCTGACTTCTCTAAAACTTGACTGCTAATAGCCTACTGTTGACTGGAAGCCTTACCAATAACACAGTTGATTAACATACTTTGTATATTATATGTATTATATACTGTATTCTTACAATAAAGCGAGAGAAAACAAAATTTTATTTAAAAAATCATAAGAAAAAATACACTTACAGTACTGTATTAATCGAAAAAATATCCATGTGTACATGAACCCACAGCTCAAACCTGTATTGTTCAAGGGCCAACCATATTTGTTTATAGAAAGAAACTCTTGAGTAGCTCCTTTTAGTTATGTAGAATGTAAGCCAAGCAAATATCTAACATTTTAGAAAAAGGTGTAACTAGCCATTTTTTAGCGAAACAAAAGCTCTCCCCCATCATTCACAACTCACTACCACTCAAGAATCTTTCTGAACTCCCTTCCTGTATCACAAAGTGTACGTGTATAGGAGGTGGGGCTGACTACTAGGTTATCAGATAAATGCAGTGTCAGATAAATTAAAATTACCTCAAGGTTCTTCTATTAATAGATTTTTAAAAAAACACTGGGTGGTACAACCAGGAGCACCTTCTACAAAGGTTTGTAGAGAGGGGGTAGTGAAATTCACTTTAGTTCATTTTATCTGCATCCCCAACCGCCCTCACAAATGGGATCAGTAGGGAATAAAAACAGCAGCTAAAACATAACCCATGACATGGTATCATTCCCAGTATGCCAGTCTTGGCCTCCAGTGCACAAATCACAGAGCTGGACAGCTAAATATATCAAAGCCTCTCTGGTATGGTATTCCAGACACCACTGCTGACTTTCTAAGCATCATCCTTTCTTCCCCATGATGGTCACCATCTGTTTACCACTGATTACTGCACTGATACCATTCTCAACTAGTATCTTTTTACCAGCAATTCTCGGTACTTACAGAACCATAAATATCAAGATTGAAAAGGGCCCTGAAGGCCATATCTCCCTACTCTCATTTTATTCTTGACAGAATGTTTTCTGTCTCTGTCTTCAGTTCCCTTCCTCATAAGCCGTGTTCCTACCCTCCTCAAAGCTTCCTCTTTCTCGAAGTCTATTTCTAGCAGTTTTTCCTATCACAAACCCCTGTATCTTCACTGCCTCTATAAATATCGCTGTCCCTATTTCAAAATGTGAGTTCTAGTTCTCCCACCTGAGATCGTGAGTTTCAGTCCTCCGTCATAACCAATCACCTCACTTATACTTGGGAAGCCTTCTCCTGTTAAGTCACTCTGATGGGGCCTCAGCCCCAGCCAGAGCCAGTCTCTGTACATCTATAGTGTCTCCAAAACAAAGAATTGTGGCATTTCAGACCTGAAAGAAAACTCAAAATAATCTGGTCCAATGTTTTTAAAACATTTTTACTACGTTTCACACATTTTAAGATCTATGAAATCCATTTGACATCACAATCTCACACGGATAACTGAAACAAGTTTCATGAAACAGTACTTACCCTTACTATGTGAACGCACTGAAAATTTCTATTGTATTCCTTTTAAAAAAGAAATTCAGGTGCTATCCACTAAATGGACTTCACAACCCAATAATGGAATGGAATCCACAGTCCATGACACATTAATCTAGTCCAAACTTCCCGCTCACTGATGAAGAAACTGTAGCTCAGTCCAGTTCAGTTCCCCAGCCACAGAGCGTCTGTCTATAAAATTGAACTCGGGGTCTGTCTGACAGGTCCCAGACCAGTGTTCCTTACATACACTAAACGCCTTCTCTAACCAGTCATGACCACCCAACCACACCCAGTGCTCAGACATAACCCTGAGGCACCAGATCCAGTCACTGAGACCACCCTGGGGTCCAAGCCAGCCCCCCAAAGTTACTGCTCGTCGTCCCCCTGCGGCCGCTCCTTCATGCTTCCTTAGATCCAAGTCCCTTCGCAGACACTATCCATCGAACAGTCTCCTCCGACTCACTGCCTCACACTTTCTCTATCGTAGTGCCCTCGCAGCCTCTGCCTCGTGCTCTCCGAGGTCAGAGTCCCTTTGCATTCACTGCCTCTGGGTCGCACACTCCTCGCAAGCAGCTACATCTCGGTCACAGTCCCCTCGCTGTCACTGCCTCTGGGTCACAGTAGCCTCACCGCCCCCTCCTTACACTCCCCTCGCTGTCACTGACCCACTCTTCTTTCAGTCGGTCTCCTCGCGGTCCTAGCCCCACAGTCGGTTCTCTCAAAGACAGCCGCAAGGATATGCACACACTGGGTCCTCACCTGCAGCGGTGAGGTCACGCTCCCCCGGCCCCTGTCCCGTCGGATTTCTCCCAGGCGCCGCGTCACGGACAAGGGAAGTTGAGGAGGTTGCGGGGAGACGCCCGGGAAAGGCAGCTGACGGAACAGCGGGCCGGAAGTCCCGCCCACTGCCCGCCCTCTTGTCAATCCGACAGCGACACTTCCCTGAAAACCACGACCCCTGACACAGTGGTTCCGCCCCCACAGAGGCCCTAGGGAGGGAGCGGCTGAGCAGAAAACACCAGACGCAAGAGACGAAGGGGCTAAAGGGCAGCTTCCATGCGGAACTGGAGTTGGCGGTGAAGACGCCTCCTTGTGAGGAGACACGGCTGTGAACTGTTGCGCCTGCTCTCTGGCAGTCAGTCAAGATGGGCTAAGCGGCGGCTTCCCTTTCGCCCGGCTCCCGGCCAGGTTCCTCCAGGGAGGACCTGTTCGCTCTGTCTCCCCCGTCTGGAGCAGGGCAGATGGCCATGACGCCTTCCACCGGAGACCCTGGGCGACTGCTTCACCACTGCGCCAACTTTGCCTTACTGGGTCGTGTAGGGAGGATTCGTGTCCGGCAGTCAAGTCCTGTGGTAACCTGTAGCTGGTCCCAAAGCCGGGTTTCCTCCTCTTATTTCTGACCCAGGTTGGCTCGCCCGACAAATGATCAGTAGGAATCCACCAAGGGCTAGCTGCGCAGGAGCGTGTTCAAGGGAGGCCAGCTGGTAGGAAATCACATGTAGCAGGGTACCTGGTGAAGAGAAGTTTTCCTTTGCTAGAATGAACCTTTGGAGGGGTCCCTTTTGATTCCATAGATGTAAGGCAAGCAAATACCCAGTGTCATGGGAGAAGAATAGAAAAGAACTTGTTGATGTATTTATTAGTTTTTGTCTACATGCTTGACTTGAAAGTGGCCGAGAAATGGGTAGATACACTTAGGCCTGTGCTGAGGAGCCTCCAGGGAGAAACAGGATTTACTGTTACCCTTTCCCTTTATGATTTCAAAGAGTTATTTGAACGTGGCCTACAGGGTAAGGTGCTCCACGTAAGGACGGACTGCTGGCTGGAGAAGATATCAGGAACCACAACGGAGGGGCTCCTGGGTGGTTTAGTCCATTCAGCGCCCAACCTTGCATGGCCCAGGTCAGGATCTCCTAGTTCCTGAGTTGAGTCCGGGGTGGAGCTGCCTGCTGTCAGCAGGGAGCCGCTCTGGGTCCTCTGTCCCCCTCTCTCTCTGCCCCTCCCGCACTCAACACTCTCTTTCAAACATAAATAAACATTAAAAAAAAAGTAATTACAAGGGGAACATCACTACAAAGACAGTGGGGATGTGGGTAGTAATAATGTCAGAGTCTTAAAGGGCTAATTTCATACACAATTTGGACAGCGTTCGTGATACTATGGGCAAATCCTGGAGAAAATGAATGTGTGTTTAACCTAGTAAGCTGTGTAAGGTGTAGAGTCGCAATTGCTAAGCAACAATACTGGATGAGAGATAAAGACAATATACAAAATGTATTTTTAAAAAACGATGCACAAATAAATTCATTTCAATATTATTTATAATGGTAAAAAATTATAAATAATCAGTCCCTTACTAAGGAAATGGCAAAAATAACCAATGTATAACCTAATGGAGTAACTGCAGCTATTAAATTATGCTTATGAAAATCATAATGCAAATAAAATGACATGAACACTGCACATGACAATAGGCGAAGTGAAAAATCAGGGTGCAAAATTGTATATATGATTTTTTTAAACCCTCCCAAAAAAAAAAACACTGTTAGAAAATATACCCAAATATTTACAATTGGTTATGTTTGAACACTTGAAATATGGGTTCTCCCCACATTGCAAATACAGTAAGAACATATTACAATAAAAATAAAACACTAAAGTGTAAGGCCTAAAACTCAATATACTCAGTTGCCAAACTGCCAAATTATCTTTATTTTGTTGAGATATTTAACAGTATAAAAAAGTTCATATTTCTTCATGGTGATATCTTTATCCAACTTTTCAAAGATTCAATAGTAGAAACAGCCTAATGCTGCTACAACACAGAATAAACTGTCCTAAAAAGCAAGCAAAACAGAAAACACACAAATCCAGAACATTAGTACTAATGAAGGGCTAAGGGGAAGATAGGCAATTGAAATTAACATCATCTCAGATATCGGCCAATTTTCAGGTGTGAAGATTTTTTTCCTCTTCAATAGACAAAGGGTTTCCAGATTATAGCCATACAGTTGCTTGCCTCAGGGTAGCTACAAAATTGTTGGCTCAAAGGGTAGGATGGGTAAAGAATTAGATTTTCTGAAGGTAGAAGTAAAATGCAAACTAATGAACTTTATGTAATTCATATTCATAAAATAAGTATTCCCATTTTTCCTGATTTATCACAGAAATAACAATGTATGAAATACATTGAATTTCTTGAAGTAAATGCGTATAAAATCACAGATAAAAATAATAGCACCTTATAGGGGCGCCTGGGTGGCTCAGTCGGTTAAGCGTCCTACTTCGGCTCAGGTTGTGATCTCATGGTTTGTGGGTTCGAGCCCTACATCGGGCTCTGTGCTGACAGCCAGCTCAGAGCCTAGAGCCTGTTTCAGATTCTGTATCTCCCTCTCTCTGACGCTCCCCTGCACATGCTGTCTCTCTCTCTCTCAGAAATAAATAAATCATTAAAAAAAAAATAACAGCACCTTGTCATAAATTCTGGATAAGGCAAATGGTTTCCGGGTGTGTTTTCTTAATGGATAAAATTCATTTATCCATCTTTTAACTTGGAATCACAAAAAGTTTTCCAAATCCCAATCAAACTTGTTAAAACAGCTTTTAGGTAATTATTACAGGAGATCCACCTGCCTCAGCAACTCCTGCCCAACAAATCCAGCCTGGTACTACCGGCAGAAAAACAATCTAAACTCAAGTACCTAATTACTAACCAAAGGAAAATTCTTTGGTTAGCCCAGTTCCCTGCCTCCTTGGGTGGAATAACTGTGAGGTGTGTTCTACAACGATGCTATCTGTGGTGAGAAAATTTTTGTTTTAATTTTTCAGGCCTTTATGGACTGATACTTTTGTAAAATACAATAAAAATAAGCACGGAAATGCAATGAAAAAAGAAACATATAAAATAAAAATACAGCCTAAACGTTTTATTATCAGATTGAATCGATATAAATTGCTTTGTCAAATTTCTGGAAGAGCTTCTGAACTCTTATACTCTATTTATGTACTTGTTTCAGGAAGGACCTGGAAACAGTACAAGGACTGGCACTGGCCTGCGGATTCCACTTGGGCCACTGTTCTACAGTGCTGCCCAGAGTTCTCCTGAGACCCAGCCTGGTTATCCACAGCCATTATAGTCACAATAATGTATACTTTTTTCTCCCCTCTCTCATGTCCTCATCCTCTACCAGTGCTTCCTGGGATCTTCTCCCAAATAAACAAAATAAGCTCTGAAAATGAGATCTAAATATATACTTGACTCAACAAAATGGACTAAATATATGGCAGACTAAGTTAGCCACCTAAACCAGGCTCTGAAAAATTAATTTTATTTATTTTTATTTTTAAAAAGGCTGTGTAGACATCTCTCCCACCAATCTTGTACTCTAAAAGCAGATCCTGATCATCTTTATTAAGTAGTAACTGAAAACTAAAGTTTCAAGTGAAATATTTGTTAATGTATTGTCTGGCCCTCTCTCCGCCACCTCCCCCCGCCCCCCACTGGTTTATCAGCTCTCTATAAGCAGAAGCCATGCCTGTCTTATTCATCATTTTATCCCTAGCACCTCCAGTACAGGGCTGGCACAGAATAGGAGCTCAGAATATGTGTTGAATGAATGTGTTGTATAAAGACTAGGGAAATATGCATTCTTAACCACAAACGGCAGGAAAAATCATCACTTTAGCTTGACCCTTCCTCTAAAGAGCAGATAACTGTAGATTTACATAGTACTACTGTTCATACCTTGACCCCAAGGGGAGTTGAGCATAAAATGAAACTGGTAGGAACACAGAATTTTAGAGCTAAAAAGTATCTAAGTTCATCAACACGAGCAGCTTCCAAACCTGGCAGTAAGCATAATCATGTGGGAAACTTTAAAAAATTCAGATTCATTGACTCAACGCCTGACTTACCGGATCAGAATCTACTTGAGTAGGGTGTTGGCATCTGTACTTTATTTTTTTTCACAGTCCCTGCTTTATTTTCATTTAGCCACACATGCTTAAAAAAATACACTTACAAAATACCCAAACATCAGGAATTTAAAGGGCAAAAAACAAGGGGCTTATGGGCTGAAAGAATATCCTAGGCTTCAGAACAAAGCAAAATCAATTAACTACTGAAAATTTCTTTGTTCAAAACACAAAGATATTTTATTTTTAATGGGATTTAAAAGTGTTTTGTTTTGTTTTTCATAAAAGGACCCCTTTAAGGACAAAAACTAAGCTTCTTGTATTGCCTGACACAGGGCCTGGCTTCCCTTCCTTGAAGGCCTTTTGTAAAATACAGATGCAGCCATCTGTATTTTAAACTAGTTCCCCAGGGATGCCTGGGTGGCTCAGTGGATTGAGTGTCCAGCTTCGGCTGAGATCATGATCTCATGGTTTGTGAGTTTGAGCCCTGCATCAGGCTGTCTGCTATCAATGCAGATCCTACTTGGGATCCTTTGTGCCCCTGTCTCTCTCTGCCTCTTCCCCATTAGCTGTCTGTCACTCTCAAAAATAAATAAACATTAAAAACAATTTTTTTTAAATTTATTTCTAGGAGACAGAGAGAGAGACAGTGTGAGCAGGGGAGGGTCAGAGAGAGAGGGAGATACAGACTCTGAAATAGGCTCCAGGCTCTGAGCTGGCAGTCAGCACAGAGCCCAACGCGGGGCTTGAACCCACTACGGGGAGATCATGACCTAAGCAAAAGTCGGACGCTTAACCGACTAAGCCACCCAGGCGCCCCTCTATATGTCCATTTTTTATGCTGGTACCATACAGTTTTGAAAACTGTAGCTTTAGAATGCATTTTGAGGTCAGGAAATGTGTTGCCTCCAGGCTTGTTCTTCTTTCACAGGATTGTTTTGGCTATTCAGGGTCCTTTCTGGTTCCATACAAATTTAGGGATTGTTTNAAGCCACCCAGGCGCCCCAAACATTAAAACAAATTTTAAGCTAGTTCCCCAAATTATTTTTAGGCAGCCACAGCCCGTCTTTGGGAAAATCTAGTACAGCTTCCTAATGTTATTGATACAATCAGAGAAAAGTCCAATGACTTACCTAATGTCATTCAATTAGAAAGTTACAGAGCTGGAAATGGAACCCTTTTCTTAATTCACTCAACCCAGTTTCTGTTCTATTCTACTATACTTTAAAAAAAAATTTAAGTTTTATTAATTTCAGTAATATATACACTCAACGTGGGGCTCGAACTCACAACCCCAAGATCAAAAGTCGCATGCTCCACCAACTGAGCCAGCCAGGTGCACCTACTCTACTATACTTTCATTCTGATCCTACTAATTCACAACCTAGGAGCATATGGATAGAGAAAAGGATCATTTCTGGAAGGAAGTGTCATAGAACAACATATGATTAAAATATATAAAACATTCAGCCAATAACATACCAGTGTTTAAATGAAACCTCTTTTTTTAAAATTCTCTTTATTTTTGCTTAGCTTTGAGAAATATCTTTAATTAATTTTATTACTGAACAAAACTCACTTTTGCTCATGGAATCCCTGCCACCCAAATTCGTAGTTAGCCAGGTGCTATATGTCTGTTAGCACTGAATAAGCAATCTGATACTCTCAAAACCACACTTGTGAAGAGTTACGTCATCTGCACACCTACAAATCTCTTGGCCTGTTAGTAGCACATTAGGTTTCTTCTGCTTTAGTGATACAGTAAAGGAACAGTAAAATCATCCCATCCAGGAGTCTAAGACAAACATCTAAAACTAAATTGTCCTCATATCTTAATAATTATTAGATTTGGAATATCCACATGTCCTTGGAAAGGACAAATAGGCTTCCAAATGGACTTACATTCATGAAAACATCATGAATATAGTTGTCAGTGTCAGCATCCCAGAAACAGCGAGCAGCCATGCTGAAAAGTCAAAGAATGAAGAATTATAAACAACGTAACGAGGATCTGAACTGCATATATTTGCAATGAGTAAAAGTTTTCCTTGATACACTCTTATAGATCAGTGCTTCCAAACAACCTTTTCACAGGTTGGCACACAGAAAATCCTGTTTGTATACAGCAGAACATACTGGATAAACGAGGAGGGACTGGAATCATAGCCATGGGACTGACAGCCCAGGGGCTCTAACAGCCTCAGACTCTGACTGGCTACCTGACAGCTGAAGGGATCACTACTTTGAAGTCCTTGGTGTTCTGGATGGGAAGCTCTGTTATAGATTACTTCAGCCAAGATATTTTTGTGTAACTTTAAGAGAAAATTAATACCTAAGAATTATGACTGAAATGACCTCAATTCTGCACAATAATATTAAAAAGTAGGTCTGGAAAGGACCCAATAGATTATTTGATCCAACCTGATCATTTTGTAGAGTTCCAGAAAAGAAAAGAAAAGAAAAGAAAAGAAAAGAAAAGAAAAGAAAAGAAAAGAAAAGGACAAACTCTGAACTAGAACTCAATCTTCTAACCTCTTCTACACCCAGTATTGTCTCTACAGAATTGCTATGCTACCTCTGAATTCTCAGATTGGCCATTCTCCTCTCCCCAAATCTTGAGTAAGAAAGAATGTTAGGCAAAATAAAAGCCAATTAAAAAATGGAAACAGGAGTGCCTGGGTAGCTCAGTCAATTAAGCATCTAACTCTTGATTTTGGGTCAGGTCATGATCTCACAGTTCCTGAGATCTAGCCCCATGTCAGGCTCTGTGCTGAGCATGAGCCTGGTTGGGATTCTCTCTCTCTTCCCCTCTGCCCCTCTCTGGCACTCATGCACGGTCTCTCTCTCTCTCTCTCAAATAAACATTTTTTTAAAAATGGAAACAACTTATGGGGTGTCTGGCTGGCTCAGTCAGTAGAGCATATGACTCCTACTCTTGGGGTTGTGGGTTTGAGCCCCATGTTACATGTAGAGATTAGTTTAAAACATAAATTTTTGAAAAATAAATAAATAATGAAAACAAATGCACAGTAGTTAAATGGTAGATGAAATTATGGTATTTCATGGCAATGAAATTCTATGCTGCCAGTTGCCATTAAAGAGATATTTTACAAAGAACTTTTACAAAAATGTTTACAAACTTTACAAAAAATAAAAATATGTTCACAATATAAAGTCAAAAAACTAAACAAATGTTTTACATTTTTATTAAATATATATGAATCATCATTACCATTTATTGAGCACTTACTTTGTGCCAGCCACTAGTCTAAGTAAGTGCTTTACATGTATTAACTCATTTAATCCTGTTAAGTAGGTACCATTATTATACTCATTGAGTAAATATGGAAACTGAGTATCAGAGAAATTAAGTAAAATTGCCCATGGTCAAACAGTAAATTATAAAGTCTGGCTTTGAACCTAGGCAGCTCAGCTTCAAGTTATAGAGAAAGATAACACGTACACCTTATTAATATTGGTTCATTTTTTAAAGTGCTTCTTTAAGGTTTTGCATAGAAGAGTGTCCCATCCTAATATTTCACACATTCTTTTTTGTATTTAATGTTCATTTATTTATTTTGAGAGAGAGAGAGAGAGAGGGAGAGACGGTGCACCAGCACAAGCAGTGGGTGGGGCAGAGAGAGAGGACAAAGAGAATCCCAAGCAGGCTCCATGCTCTCAGTGCAGAGCCCAACACAGGGCTCTCCATCTCACCAACTTTGAGATCATGGACTGAGCCAAAATCAAGAGTCAGACACCTAATTGACTGAGCTATCTAGGTGCCTCTCATACATTCTTAAATAAAAAAAGTTCCATCTATTTCCAAATTACAACAGTAACAATGTGAAATAAGTTAACCTACTTAATTCATCACCAACAAGTATTTCCTTAGCAGCTACCATATGTCCAAAAAGAGAAAAATCTATGTCGATCCTCAAATAATTCCCAATTTAATTAGGTGAAAAAAATTAACACACATAAAAAGAATAAGATAATGTACAGCTGATGCTAATTTATCAGTTATTCGGATTCAAAAGTATTGTAAAGTCTGTCTAGTCCAAATCTAATTTGCACATTTGTACTAAATTTGTAGAAGTGCTACAGAAGTTTAGAGAATTTAGACAGGAAAAAAAGCCAAAAAGAGACACTTGAAGGCAGGAATATAAACATTTACTTAACAAACATTTGTTGAGGGTCTATTACATATGAAGCAAAGTGCTAGGTACAAATGATACAAAAACGCATAAAACACAAGCCTTGCCTTTAAAATGTGGTTTATATATAATTTACCAATAAAAGGAACCAGGACTTCTCAGAGAAATGGTCAATTCTAGGGCCAGGACTAGAAATGTGTAAGACAAACCTGGGACTTCTGGGCCACACCAAAAAAGAAAAAAAGCTTTACTGAAAAAGAAGTATTTGTGTCAAAAGAACTAAGAAGCAGCAGGATGGAATAGTCTGCAGAGGCCAATGTTTTCACCAAGATCAGTTAGCAAGGCTGTATTAAGTGAATCAGAATGCAGCTGAAGCAAATAAGACCAGGGGAGACAAAATTCCAGAGAGGTGAACTGCAAGGAGGTAAGCGGATATCCTGCCTCAGAATTCTTCTCCCTGGGGTATTTGCCAAGTCCAGGTACAGGACTAGAAGCTAAGAACCCAGGGTTTGCCCAGCTAGAGAACCAATTACTGAGCGAAAAAGAAACCAGCAGGACTATTGGCAGCAAAGGAGATAAAATCGGAGACTTGAGGAACCAAGATCACTGTGAAAAAGTGGAGTAGAACTGAGTCTGTCACATGGTAGGTTTTCCCCTCAAGACATGTGCTACATTTTGAAACTGAAAGCCAAGTGTAGTGGGCAAAATAACAGCCCTCTCACCAAATATATCTATGTCCTAATGTCCAAAACCCATGAATACATTACATTATATGGGGACAGGGGAGGGTTTTACAGATACATTACTAAGGATCTTGAGATGGAGAGAGTATCCTGGATTATCCAGGTGGGTTCAATGTAGTCACACAAGTCCTTGTGGGGGTAGGGTCCCGTCTGGAGGCCTTCTTTAAGAAAGAAGGGTGAACTGAAGGTAGAGGGAGCCTCATCAAAACTGCAACCCAACCTCAACTCTGCCTAGTACCTGACTGGATTAAGGTAAGCAGTCCACAGTCTGCCTGAATGGAAAAGAAAAGAGTAAACCCTCTCTAGAAGAAAATAATATTATCTAGAGGTTCTATAATTTTTTGACACAATGCCCAAGATTTAAACTAGGCATGCTAACAGAGCCACATGAAGGATTACCAAGACAAAAAAAAAAAAAAAATCAATGGAAATAGAATCACACATAATCCAGATACTAGAGTAAGCAGATGATGACTTTAAAATAATTGCTATGACCAAAATGTAAAAAGGGAGGAGAGAGGAAGGATGAAGAACTGGATAAAAAAATAATTTTCACTGGCCTCACTGACCACTTCTAGTGGCTCCAGGAGGTGCTGAAGCATGCATGCTACTACCGGCTGGCAGAGCTGTGACCCGGACATCAGTGAAAGCAACACAGTGCAAGGAGGAACATGAAAACACTGTAGATTAATCAAATCGCAGATGCCTTCCAGGGATGTGGCTTAAAGTACCAGCATTCATTGTCAATTTAATTAAGTGCCAGGTGTAGTTCAAGCACTTGCAGATCTAGCTACTTATGAACAAAATATTTTTTTTTAGTGTTTATTTACTTAGTTTTCAAGGTGGGGAGAGGCAGAGGGAAAGAGAGAGAGAGACTCTTAAGCAGGCTCCAAACCCAGCATAGGGCCTAATGCAGAGCTTGATCTCATGACCGGGAGATCATGACCTGAGCCGAAAGCAAGAGTTGGACACTTGGGGCGCTCAGTTGGTTAAGTGTCTGACCCTTAATTTCGGCTCACAGTTCATGTGGTCAAGCCCTGTGTCAGGCTCTGCACAGACATGTGGTGACAGGAAGGATCTGCTGCTGCCTTGGGTGATGGGAAGGAGCCTGAAGGCATATTTTCCAGAGTGGTTTAGTATCACTGAGAGAGGTTTCAACACCCCTGCCCTTTGCAGCTGAGTGTCTTAGGAAAAGGTTTTTTCCCCACAATGATCGATGATCACAATAACTGAAATAAGGGCTAAGAATTATTTGCCAACACTGTGTAAGTTGATCAGCAATTATGTTAATTTACATTTTAGTAATATGAGTGAAAGAAAGGCCCCTTCTGCCCTTGGGGCAGATTCAGAAATCTCTTTCACAGATTGTGCAAATAATGCTTGTGTGGTTTTAAAAAAATAATAATTTCACTAGAGAATTGGAATCTATAAAAAAGAATTACATGGATATTCTAGACCTGAAAAATATGATAACTGATATTAAGAATTCAGTCAGGGGCATTTGGGCGGTTCAGTCTGTTAAGCGTCAGACTTCAGCTCAGGTCATGATCTCACGGTTTGTGGGTTCAAGCCCCACATCAGGCTCTATGCTGACAGCTCAGAGCCTGGAGCCTGCTTCAGATTCTGTGCCTCCCCCTCTCTCTCTGCCCCTCCCCTGCTCACACTCTGTCTCTCTCAAAAATAAATAAACATTGAAAAAAAATTTTTTTAAAGAAAAAGAGGGGCGCCTGGGTGGCTCAGTTGGTTAAACATCTGACTCTTGATTTCTGTTCAGGTCATGATCTTATAGTCGTGAGATCTAGCCCCTCATCTGACAGCCAAGAGCCTACTTGGGATTCTCTCTCTCTCTCTCTCTCTCTCTCTCTCTCTCTCCCCTCTTTCAGTCTCTGAAAAAACAAAAACAAAAAAAAAAAAAGAAAAGAAAAGAAAAGAAAAATATCCAAAAGGAAGTAAAGAAAGAAAACACAAAAACTCAGAGAAGAGCATAAAAGATATGTGGAGGGGCACCTGGGTGGCTCAGTTGATTAAGCATCCGACTTAAGCTCAGGTCATGACCTCACAGTCCATGGGTTCGAGCCCCATTTCGGGCTCTGTGCTGACAGCTCAGAGCCTGGAGCCTGCTTCAGATTCTGTGTCTCCCTCTCTCTCTGCCCCTCCTCCGCTTGCTCTCTGTCTCTGTCCCTCAAAATAAAATAAAGACATTAAAAATTTTTTTAAAAAAGACGTGGAATCCAGTAAAAAGAGCATCTCCCTCTATATACAGGTAATTGGAGTCCAAAAAGGACAATAGAGAGCAAACAGAGCAGAAGCAATACTTAATAGCTTAATGGCCACACCTAGCACCCAGATGTTAGTTTCTTTTTTTTTTTTTAATTTTTTTAATGTTTTATTTATTTCTAGGAGAGAGAGAGAGAGGCAACGTGAGCAGGGGAGGGTCAGAGAGAGAGGCAGTCACAGACTGAAACAGGCTCCAGGCTCTGAGCTGGCAGTCAGCACAGAGCCCGACGCGGGGCTCGAACCCACGAACCGCGAGATCATGACCTAAGCGAAAGTCGGATGCTTAACCGACTAAGCCACCCAGGCGTCCCCCAGATGTTAGTTTCTAATGCTATTCTCCATAAAATGAACCAGAGCTCCTTGGAGGAGTGGCTAGTTCTAGAGCTGGAGCAGAGAATGAATAAGATGAACATCTTACACTGCCAGTGAGTAAGTGCTCAAGAAACCCCGTAATAGTAGAGTATGTCAAAGGACACAGGAGTCAACTGAAAGAGCTGCCAATGGCCCAAGCTGTAACACTGAGTAGTAAATAAAGTAGTACTAGATTATAATCCAAAGTATAAAAATCCTGAAATAAATAAGTAATAAGATGCAATTATTAAATGCCAGAATGTAAGAAACTCTCCAGGATAAACAACCCAATTTCTTTAAGAATTAAACGGCAAGGTAAAAAAAGAGAAAATAAGATAAAAGAGGGAGTAAAAATGATAGATTAAAAGAAACTTAAGAGGGGCGCCTGGGTGGCTCAGTTGGTTAAGCATCCAACTTCAGCTCAGGTCATGATCCCACGGTTTGTGGGTTCAAACCCCGCATCAGGCTCTGTGCTGACAGCCAGCTCGGGAGTCTGGAGCCTGTTTCAGATTCTGTGTCTCCCTCTCTCTCTGCCCCTCCCCTGCTCACGCTGTCTCTCTCTCAGAAATAAATAAAAACATAAGAAAAAAAAAAGAAGGCAACTTTTAAAAAATAAATAAATAAAAGAAACTTAAGAGATGTATCAACTCCTTTTGGCTGGAACCGCCATCTTCCACTAATCTGCAAAATGACCAACACAAAGGGAAAGAGGAGAGGGACTCACCATATGTTCTCTAGGCCTTTTAGAAAACATGGAGTTGTTCCTTTGGCAACATACATGTGAATTTATAAGAAAGGTGATATTGTGGACATCAAGGCAATGGCCCACAAATGTTACTATGGCAAACCTGGAAGAGTCTACAGTGTTACCCAGCATGCTGCTGGCATTGTTGTAAACAAACAAGGGCAAGATTCTTGCTAAGAGAATTCATGTACGTATTGAGCATATTAAGCACTCAAAGAGCTGAGATAGCTTCCTGAAGCATGTGAAGGAAAATGATCAGAAAAAGAAAGAAGCCAAGGAGAAAGGTACTTAGGTTCAACTGAAGGGCCAGCCTGCTCCACCCAAGGAAGTACACTTTGTGAGAACCAATGCAAAGAGGCCTGAGCTGCTGGAATTCATGGCATGATAAATGTAAAAAAAATAAAATAAAAGACCTCAAGGCTGTAAAAATGTTTCTCCTAATTGAGCAGAAGTGTGGTGTCTTCTCCCCCAAAGAAATATTTCAAGCAAACTTTGTGTCCGAATTCATTGGATGATGTATTTATTCAAAATTGGTAGGTTTTGGGGAGCTTGGGTGGCTCAATCAGTTAAGCTTCTGACTTCGGTTCCGGTCATGATCTTGCAGTCCATGAGTTTAAGCCCCATGTCAGGCTCTGTGCTGACAGCTCAGAGCCTGGAGCCTGCTTTGGATTCTATGTCTCCCTCTCTCTCTGCCCTCCCCTGCTCACACTCTGTCTCCCTCTCTTTCTCTCTCTCAAAACTAAACATTAAAAAAAAGAGAGAGATGTATCAACTAAATACAATGTGTGAACTTTATCTGGATCCTGATCCAAACAAATTGTAAAAAAAAATATAAATACATACACTTAAATACATATTCATACACGTATACAGTGACCCCTGAATCACCTGGGTTGAACTGCACAGGTCCACTTATGTGTAGATGTTTTTTCAGTAAATACAGTACAGTACTGTAAATGTATTTTCTCTCCCTTATGATTTTCTTAGTAACATTTTCTTTTCTCTAGCTTATGTTATTGTAAGAATGCAGTATAAAATACCTATATAAAACGTGTTAATCAACTGCTTATGTTATCAGTAAGGTTTCCAATCAACAGTAGGCTATTATTAGTAGTTAAGCATTGGGGGAGTCAAAGTTGTATGCATATACAAAAAGTTATTTTTGATTGTGCAGGGGTTGGGACCCCTAACCCCTACACAGTGCACAAGAGTCAACTATATATGAGACAACTGGGGATATTTGAATGCTAACTGAATATTTTATAATATTCAGGATCAACAATATTTTAGATATGATATTTTATTATGATAAAAGGGTCCTTGGGGCACCTGGGTGGCTCTGCAGGTTAAGCATCCAACTCTTCATTTCAGCTCAAGTCAAGATCTCACAGTTCATGGATTCGAGCCCTGTATTGGGCTTTGTGCTGACAGTGCAGAGCCTGGTTGGGATTCTCTCTCTCCCCCTCTCTCTGCCCCTCCCACTCTCTCTCAAAATAAATAAATAAATAAACATTTTTTAAAAAATAAATAAAATAAAAAGGGTCCTTAAATTTTAGAGATATTGTATACTGTTGTATTTACAAATGAATGGTATGATAACTGGAATTTGCTTCAAAATAATCTGGTGGGACAGGAGAGTAAGCAGAGGGATAAATAAAACAGTATCTGTATGAGCTGATAAACTTTGAAGCTGAGTAACAGAAAAATGGGAGTTCCTAAGTCCCTGTACTTTTGCATATGTTTGAAATTTTAGATGATAAAAGTTTTTAAAAAGAAGGGGGGAAGGCTTGAATGCTATGCTGTAGAATTTGACCTTATCACATTTAACAAAGTGATCACAACCAGTTTAAGGAGTTTATACCTGACAGGGTTTAAAATAAACTCTAAAGAGTTCATGGAAAGAAAATGAGGTGTACTTCTGAAAGACTGTTCTAGTATGCAAAATGAAACATAGAGGAGAGAGATCAGTCTGGAAATGCTGACAAGGGGCTGCTAAGTAACCCTGGCATCCAGCTTACAGTGCATACAGTGGGAGAGAGTAACAGCTAAACCAGACAAAAGAGGACTCTGAGGTTTTAAGCCAGAGTCAACAGAACCTTGGTAATACTGTGAAAGACAGAGAAATTTAAATGGCAGGTGGACTGAAGAAGAAGAAGGGAGAAAAAATTTACAACTATATTTGATCATGTTGAATGGGGGAGTGATAAAGTTTTAAAGTATTTCTTTATGTCTCTGAGGTGAGAAATTCTCCTGAAGCCTTTTGACCCAATGGTAAAAGGACACCATGGTGAAGAGTACAGCACCAAGAGTCAGTAGACTAGGCTCTATTAGTTCATCTGACACCAGCCAGATGAATAATTTTGGGCAAAGTACAGTGACCTTCATAAGTGTCATCTATAAATGAAGGGAAGTAGACACTAGAAAATATCCAAGTCCCTTCCAAATCCAACATTCTGTAGTAAAAATTCTCACTTATAATATCTCCAAGATATTTTTAAAATTCCTTTAACAAATATCTTGATAATTTCTTATAAAATACTATACTAAGCACTGTTTGCAAAGGGAACATGAGATGAACACTTGGGCAGAGGAAAAGACAGGAAATACATATTTTGAACTCACCAATACATGAACGACAGTTTGAGGTCATGAGAATGAATGAGTTCATTGAAAAAGCATTGAGAAGAGCCCAAGAACAAGAACTGAGCCTTGAAGAAAGCTCACAGCTGGCAATGAGGGGAGAAAGGAACCAGGGAAGGAAAGACAATAGTCAGAAAAACAGAAAAGAAAAGAAACAAGTTAGATAAGTAACATCAGGACCAAAACCAAACAAAAACAAACAAACACACACACACACACACACACACAAGCAAAGTGAATTTTAAGAAATAGAAGCCCAGGCCAAGAATAAGAGGTAAGAAAGGGTTACCAGATATGCTAATTAAGAGGTCTCAGACAACTTTAAAGAAATTAATTTAGGAGAATGATAGGAACAAAAACAAGACACAGAGGAATTTAGGAAGAGACATATATAATATTCCCATTCTCTCTTTAGGAGCATGTATACATAAGCCCTATGGATACAACAAAAAGTGAGTTACCTCACAGAGCTCACTCAGAGTTGTCGAGCTCACTCAGACTTGTCAACCTCACTGTTCAGTACCCAGATCTTTTTGGTTAACAGCTCCATTTTGTTATGCTGTCTTTTCCTCTCACTCTTACAAAGACACCATCTTTCTGAATTGTCAGGAGGGTGAATACCTAATAAGAAACATTTAAGAATAAAAACAAGAGAGAAAAAGCAACTACTCACAATACTCCTTCACCTCTTTGTTCTCCAATCACTACTTGCACCACCAATTTATATCGGTCAAATCCCATTTCTAGAAAGAAAAATAAGAATGTTATCTCTAAGTAAAAGTGATAAAAGTATAAGTAAAAGTGTAAAAGTGATAAATATGAAGGTATATTTGACTAGAAATGGACACAGGCATTCAGTCTACAAGCACTGACTGAGTAGGTTGATAAGCTTGGGAGTCAGAGAGACTAGAGGACAAATTTTACCTGGTGTGTAAGTCAGCTTACCTAATGTGTAAACTTAGACAAGTTATTTATCTTCTTGGCTTCATCTTCCTCATCTGTTAAATGAAAAATATTACTACCTACCCTGGGGACACTGTGAGGTGAGATGAGATAAGATATAGTACGATGACCTTAAAAATAAAACTGTCAAGTTATTTTACCAGCAAAAAAAAAAAAAAAAAAAATGAGTTTATTCAGGAAGGGCAGAGAATTGCAATTCAGGACATGAAAGCTATAGCAAAACCATTTGCAAATTCAGAGAACAAAGAAGTCAGTTCTTTTGTAGAGGAAAGGACACTGGGAAGGCTGTTATAACCAAAAAGTTCATTGGAGTAAACTGGGAGTTAGAAGTGTAGTGGCTTTTCATTGCCTGAATTTTGACAGTCTCTCATTGGCTGGTCTGTTGCTGGGCAAGCAGAAAATCTTTCTTTCTCCTGCTGGGGTAGTAAAGTATAGGCTTCTTCCTGTGGGGCTGATAAGGAACGGTATGGTATTAGAGTTCCCCCTTCTGGCCTCCCAACTCCATTTTAGTGAGGTTTTGCTTTATTAATTTTCACAATATATAAAGCATCTAGAACAGTACTGATACACACTAGTTTCTCAAGAGATGGCAGCTTCCTCCGTTTGTCTCCTACTCTAAGTCACTCTTCTTGCCTTAAAAAACTCACAGTAGCTGGGAAGGCAAACATGAAGAATAAAATGAAAATGCAATGTATTAATAATTACAATAGTGGCATGTCTTTTAGGGACACAGGGCTGGCAGCTCCTTCCTTTGTTTGGACAGTGGGTAAAGGATGACCAGAAAAGACTTCTTGGAGGATAAGATACACGAGCTGAGTTTTGAAAGACAAGTGGGAATTTACCAGGCAGACAAGGTCTCTTCATTTTATAGCATGAGCAAAGGCATAGAGTATGGGATATTTAGAAAACCATAAGCAGTTCAGTAAGGGAGAAAATAAAATAAAATAAAATATAAAAATAAAGTTGAAAAAGTTTAAGATTCTGAAGTATAATGGTGTGGTCTAGCACAACTCTGCTACTTCCCCAGAAACCATACTGCTAAAGCAGCAAAATCCTGAAAATTCTCACTAACATCAAATCTGGAGAGAAGAAACCTGAATGGGCATCTTTATCTCCTCCCCTTTTCTAACCAAAGACTAGTGGAAACTGCTGGAACAAAAAAAAAAAAAAAAAAAAAAAAAAAAAAAAAAAAAAGAAAAAAAAAAAAAAAAAAAAAAAAAAAAAGGAAAGGAAATGGGCAAAGTTGAAACAGAGGCAACTCTTGATGAAAGTAAAAGTCTCCAGAGTTATAAAGTAAATTAGGCAAACAATCTGAAGACCACAGGTCTCCTCCCATGTGAAACATGGAGCCTAATTCAGGATACTTAACAAAATCTCAGGAGACAGAGCCCAAAGCACTGCACACAGTTCCATGGAGCTTCCTATTTACCCATTTCTCTTCCTCCTTTTCTGATACCCATGCAGCTAGAATATTATATATACAGCCCTTAAGTCATAGTTCTGAGGGAAAAATAAAATAATCTCAGGTATAGTGGGAGAGTACAAAAGAAATCACCCACACTATATCAGAGCAATTATGAAAAGACCAAATGAAAAGATCTGAAAACCATACCACATCAGAGTAAAATGGAAAGAAGCCAACTGGCAATATGCAATGATGCAGCAACAAAAACAAAAGAATAACAAGAAAGAAACAAACACACTGTTTTAGGGGCGCCTGGGTGGCTTGGTCAGTTAAGCGTCCGACTTTCGCTTGGGTCATGTACTCGCGGTTCGTGGGTTCGAGCCCCGCGTCGGGCTCTGTGCTGGCTGCCAGCTCGGAGCCTGGAGCCTGTTTCAGTCTGTGACTCCCTCTCTCTCTGACCCTTTCCTGCTCACGCTCTCTCTCTCTCTCTCCTAGGAATAAAAATAAAACATTTAAAAAATAAAAAAGAAAAAAAAAGAAAGAAACAAACACACTGTTTAAAAGACAAAAACAGCGTGCCTGGGTGGCTCAGTTGGTTAGGTGTCCAACTTCGGCTCAGGTCATGATCTCACAGTCATGGGTTCAAGCCCTGAGTCAGGCTCTGTGCTGTTAGCACAGGGCCTGCTTGGGATTCTGTCTCCCTCTCTCTCTGCCCCTCCCCAACTCATGCACACATGCTCACTCACTCTCCCTCTCTCTCTTAAAATAAATAAATAAAACTGTTTTTAAAAAGTGAAAACAAAAATGCTAATATACAAACAGTAGTTAATCCTGGGTGATAGAAATTCACAGAATTGCTATTTTCTTCTTTGCACTTTTATATACTTTTTTCATTTCTAAAAACTGAAACAAATTAAGAAAAAGAAGAAAATACACCAAAATATTAAATAGTAACTACCAGGGGCGCCTGGGTGGCTTAGTCGGTTAAGCATCCGACTTTCACTTAGGTCATGATCTCGCAGTTCGTGGGTTCGAGCCCCGCATCAGGCTCTGTGCTCACTGCCAGCTCAGAACCTGGAGCCTGTTTCAGAGTCTGTGACTCCCTCTCTCTCAGACCCTCCCCTGCTCACACTGTCTCTCTCTCTCCTAGAAATAAATAAAACATTAAAAAAATTAAAAAAAAAATAAATAGTAACTACCTTTGGGTAATGGAATTTTATATAATTTAAAAAACTCTTATATGTATTTTTCTAGATTGTCTAGGTTAGTACAATGAAAATATATTACTGTTAAATAGATATTTTCTTCCCTCCAAAAAATGTTACATTTTTAAAAAGGTAGACAGAAAGAACTTTTCAGATGGTGTATTATTAACAAAAAAAGAGACAGAGACCGAAAGAACAGGGAGAAAAAGCACAAGATGTGTATATGTAAAGCTTAGCAGGAGTGGAGAGGTGAGTAGGGCAACTAGCTAAAGACTCTGAGAGATGGGCCAAGGTCAGACTGTGAGGGTATGAATGCCTGGCTAAGGAATTGATATGTTGGTGAGAAAAACAATCAAGAATGACAGGAGAAAGGAGCCCTTGTAACTTCTGGTCTTTCCCATACTGGAATTTCTCAGATAGTGCTTGCATACAATGTTTTATTTCACATCTTTATACTTTTCCACTATCTGCAAAAACCCACATGAGTAAAAGCTACGAAATAATTGAGAAGACTAGACACTGAAAAGAAATTTGTGTTTAAAAGAATGCACAGCTTATGTCTCTTGTTTAAAGATCAGGAAGGAAACAGGTAAAATTGAATGTTTGAAGGGAACATACCATTTCCAATTATCACCACGATTACCTTTTAATTTATCTTTAATGGTTTCTGATAAATGCTTTGTGAGCTGAGGCATTTCTTCTGGAGAGTATTCAGCATTTGCCAGTTCCTCCTTAAGCACAGCATGGATACAGTCTTTAACCACAGAGGGTCTGAACCTAAATGAAACAGTTTGAAACATCTAGTTGGTAACTCCAAAACTCCAGTGTACCTTCATAGTCCAACTGCCTCCAGCTCTTAGTCACTAGAACAACTTAATCTTTCAGTTTCATATGTTTTATTATAAAAGTGATATAAACAAATTAAGAAAACAAGTCCTATTCCTGATTTATGCCTCAAGCCTGGACCTTTCCCCTGAACTTCAGACCATGTATTCTTTTTTTTTTTTTTAATTTATTTATTTTTTATTTATTTCTAGGAAAGAGAGAGAGACAGCGTGAGCAGGGGAGGGTCAGAGAGAGAGGGAGACACAGACTCTGAAACAGGCTCCAGGCTCTGAGCTGGCAGTCAGCACAGAGCCCGATGCGGGGCTCGAACCCACGAACCGCGAGATCATGACCTAAGCGAAAGTCGGATGCTTAACCGACTAAGCCACCCAGGCGCCCCTTCAGACCACATATTCTAACATAGAGTCCATCTGGATGTCTAATAGACAACTCAAATTTGATACATCTAACATCCAGCTTTTTAAAAAATTATTTTAATGTTTATTCATTTTTGAGAGAGACAGAGACAGAGCATGAGCCGGGGAGGAACAGAGAGAGAAGGAGATACAGAATCCGAAGCAGGCTCCAGGCTCTGAGCTGTCAGCAAAGGGCCCAATATGGAGCTCGAACTCATGAACTGTGAAATCATGACCTGAGCCGAAGGAGGACATCAACCAACTGAGCCACCCAGGTGCCCCCAACATTAAGCTTCTCACCTTCTCCCCTCCCTAGAATTGTATCAGTAAATGGTAACTCCATTCTTTGATTTGCTCAGGCCAAAAACCTTGATGCCAGTCTTGCCGCCTTTCTCTCTCACAAAACATATCCTGATTCATAAGCAAATCTTGCTTAAATCATAAGCAAATCTGAAGCAGTTCTACCTTCAGAATAATCTGAAATTCAATCATTCTCACCATCCACTGCTGCCAGCTTGGTCCAGGCTACCCTTCCCTCTTGCCTGGATTACAATGGCTCCTAACAAGTCTCTCTGTCTCTGCCTTTGCTCCCAGATCCTGTTCTCAACACAGCAACTAGACTGGTCCTGTTAAAATATGTCAGATCATGGCCTCCTCTATTCAAAATACCCCCCAAATATTTCCCACCTCTCTCAGAGTAAAAGCAGCATCCTAACTATGATTTACACAGTCCCATACCCTACCAAATTCTCTGACCTTGTTTTCTGCTACCTTTCCCACTAGTTCTCTCCACTCAGGCCACACTGGCCTTCCCTATGTTGATCACACCAGGCATACCAACCTCAGTGCTTCTGCACTTGCTGTTAACCTCTACCTGAAGTTCAAGTCTCATTCTATATGCATAGCTACCTCCCTCACTTCTTTCAAGTCTTTTTTCAAAAGTCACTTTCCCTAGCCACCTTCTCTAAAACTTCAAATTGCCCTCCTATTACTTCATTTTGTATCTCACTTCCCAGTACTGATTACTATCTCATACACTACACAGTTCACTTCTGTGTTTGTTTTGTTTGTTGTCCTTCTACCCAGCTAGAACTTAAGCTCCATGAGGACTTCTATCTGCTTTGTTTACTGTTATATCCCCGTTTCTCAGAATGGCACCCAGCGCACAGTAGAAAATAAATACTTTTTGAAGGAATGGATTATTGAATAAATGAAAACAGAAAAAACACCCCTAATTTCACCACCCTAACAATATCATTAGCATTTTTGTTGTATTTATCATAGAAACTCTAGGTTCATTTTCTGGGCTATATATTCTACCCGTTGATTTGTCTATTATGTGCCAAGTAACCAGAATGTTTCAGGTTTTGAGCTTCTAATGTGATATAATATTTGGTAGTATTAGTCGCCCCTTATTTTTAACAGTATTTTCTCTGCTCTCTCGCCTAGTTATTCTCATAGATGAACTTTAGAATCACCAACAAATTTTCCAGGATTTGATCTGTTCAAAAAGGGGTCTTCCTATTAATAAACATACCATATCTGGTTCTTCTCCTTAAGCCTTTTTCATTCTCAGTGAAATGTTAAAAGTTTTGTTGAAACAAGTCACAAATAATCTCATAGGATTATTCCCACACGATATATATTTGTTAATCTTGTTCTGCTTTTGTTCTGTCTTACAACAGAAATGCAGGCAAACGGCAATCTATGCATTTAGAAACTTTTACCAAGATAACTGGACATACTTTTTAATATGTCCATTCACCCAGCCGAAAAATGCTGCATGAAATTTTATCACATTATAACCTAAGTTCCTGGCTTCCAGTATTTGCCAAGCATTTGATTCAGCAATCTGGCTGCAAGCAACAGAAGGGCTTTTTTTTTTTAATTCATATATTTTTTTATCTTGTGAAAATTAAGTAAGTGATGGAGACTACAGCCCCAGCGGACTGTCCCCTGCACTGGACTGTGTACTTTAACTCTGGGAAAGTATCGCAGTGGTGGGCCTAGAACATCCAAATACTACCTGGGTAAGTCTTTATATACATACAAATCCCAAACCCTGCAAAGGAGTAGGCGTATTCTGACACACGTAGGCACACAGTATGCGTGTGGCTGAATGGCATTCTACGCAAGGCGCTTCTTTACTGCTCTTCTCTCTATTCCATTCATCTCTTTTCCTCAGCCCACGTCCCCGGTCTTCTAGAGCCAACCATTCCCACTGCGCTAGCCTTAGGCGCTCCCAGCGCCCTAACATTGCAACCGCAGGATGGGTCTTGAGATGCCTGTAGCAGCTGAAAGCTCAAGAAAAATAGCTTCCCACCCTCCCAGCCCGTCTCCTCCCCATCCTGCCTATGCCCCTCCAAACCAGCCCCTCCCTCCCTGCCGCCTCATCTATGGACTCCAACCCAACACCTTCCTGGTACCAGCCCCGCCCCGCCCGCTCCAGCCCCGCCCCGCCCGCTCCGCCGCTCCCGGCGCGCTTTACCGACGCCGAGGCTTCCGGGCGAGGTCAACCTGCCCGACCTAACTGTCTCGCAGGTCGCCCCCACCACACCCGTCCGTTACCCGCCTTTGCTGGAAAATGGGCCGCAAAATATAGGTATTCTCGGGCTCCCCTGCGTTCTTCTCCGTCTCAAGCAACCCATCGGCCGTGCCTATAGAGAAGGACGCAGCAGTCGTCCCGGTCATGGCTAGGGCTTCTTGGCCCAGTGTGTCGAGATGAAGGCCTGGCTGGTTGCGGCGCGGGGCTGCGAAACCGTCTCCAGGGCAACAGCGCCGCCCTTGGCCCTGACGTGACGCGGCAGCGAGCTCCGGTGAGGGAGGCCCTCCCTTCTCGGCGGGTCTGGCGGCCCTCCGCTACGCCTGCGCACTGTGCACCCGCTGCGGGGCAGAAACTGGCCGAGCTAGGGTGACCCTACGTTTGGCGCAGGGCTGTTTGAGCCCTGTGGGGATCACAAAGCGTTTCGAAGCTCGTCAGCTTTTATGAACCGCGCTACAAGTTTAGGAAATTGGCAGGGAACCTGAGGCCCGTAGAGGTCCAAGGATTTAAGTCTATTGAGCGGCAGGGCTCTGACTTTAAAAAGGCCTCACTGTGTGTGGCCTGTGGGCAAGTCCAGCCTTCATTTCGTTTTGCACGAATTGTGAACGGTTTTATATTTTTAAATGATCGAAGAAAAATCAAAAGACTGTTTCATGACACGTGAAAACTACACGTGAATTTAAAATACCAGTATCCGTAAAGTCCTGTTGTAACGTAGCTATGCTCTCGCACCTCGTACATGCGTGGCCGCTTTTGCGCTGTATTGGTAGAAATGAGCAGTTGCAACGGAAACCATATGGCCCTTAAAGTCTATAAACTTTTATCTGTCCCTTTACAAAAAAAAATTGCAGTGCCCTGCTCTAATCCTTAACTGCCAACTCACAGTTCCCCCAGCCTCACTCACAGGGTTACTCCCTGTGCAAAATTCAGAAAGGAGCAGACATTAAGGTGTATGCCCCACTTAAGAGCACCAGTTTCTGGTCCTGTTTTAGAAGATTGTAGTATCTTGGCCTCTACCAGCTTCAAAAACTAAGAAAAGATTATGATCTCGCAGTTCATGGGTTTGAGCCCCCCATGGGACTCTGCTGACACTCAAGAGCCAAGATCAGATTGTGTTTCCCTCTATCTGTCTCTCCCCGGCTTGGGCTCTCTCTCTCTCTCAAAATAATAAATACACATTAATTAAAAAAAAAAAAAGAGAAAGAAATCATACTCCTAATACACTGACCTTTCCTCCCCTTTTATGATTTCTTCAGCTATATTTCTCTTACCCTACCTACTCCAGTCCAACTTAAAAAAAAAAAAACAGAAGATTAGGTGTGTAATTCAATAAATATTTTATTATTCCATGTGTGCTATGGGCTGGAGATACAAAAGTGAATAAAACCCAGGCCATGCCCTAAAGAATGAACAGGGGAGCAATGGGCTAAACTATTTGTTACTTCATAGAATGCCAGTTGCTCTAACAGAAAGCTGAAGCCAACCTATTCCCAAGATGGGCCTACTTTACTCCGAACAGGATCATGAACAAGGCAACCTCCTCTTCATTCTAGGATGATATTCAAGAAGGCATTCACAAGGCAAGGGACAGACAAACATTCTTAACAAAATGTTAACACTGTCCTGATGTACTGATTAACATAGGACCTCCTGCCCAAAACCTAGTTGGAAGCCAAGCTGGGAGCCAGATGTAGCTTTCATTTGAGGAGGAAAAACCAGGGTGAAAGCCCATTCTGTGTGTGAGATAGTCCTGGGATGTAGGGAGAAGGAAGGCAATGCAGGTGTGCTGTGGAATGCCACAGAGCACAGCCAACGGCCAGGTGTGGAGGGCTGTGGGGCCCATGGTAGAATGAATGCAGAGCTCCCTCTTCTTCCTTCCCCCTCCCCTCCCCTGGTTTCCTCTCCTTTCCCCTTCCCCCTACTCCTTGGTAACAGAAGAATTCCTGTATTCTGGAGGCATCTGGTGCTTCAGTGGCTCCTCCCTGACCTGGGACAGTACTGGGACAGAGCTGGGGCCAGGGGACTGTGGAGGGGATACAGCAGCACCTGGACCCACATACTCCCTCCCTGGCTTTGTCCACTCAGTGGCTCCAAGAGCCTGGTGTTCTCAAACTTATTCCCTGGACCTGTCCACCACCTCTTCTCTTGCTAGTACCCATCGTCTTCCCAGGTTTCTTCTGCCTGCTTCTTCTTGTTTCCTGGCCATCAGACTTTCCCATCAGATCTCCTGTATCCCACTCCTGACTCTTCTCACCATCCGGCACCACCTCCTGACCATGATCCTGAGATGGGAGAGAGGGGGGGTCCTCTGCTTTCCTTGTTCCACATGAGAAACAGCCATGACTCCTCGGTTCTCTGCATGCTCCATCCTGTGTCTCCCCTCCATGCCTTGGAGTGAGCTGTTTCCTCTGTTAGAGAATCCCTTTCTCTCTTCCTGGGCTAACTGTTCCAAGAATCAGCTCAGACACAATGGAAGCCTTCCTTCATCTCTCACAGACCCTCTCCTTGGAGGTTCACTGTTCCTCTGAGCTCTCTTTGTGTCCTGTTGACCTCTACCATGGCCCTTACCATATGAATTTAAATTGTTGTGGGATGTTCCCTTAACCTGACCATGAGCTCTTCAAAGACAAAGCAGGGTCCAAGGTCAAGGACCATGTCTCAGTCATCTTTGGATCCACTGCATGCACAGCAGAGCCAGCCACACAGTGGATACTCAATGTATACCACTTACTGAACTGCACTGAACATGAATAAAAAGAACACTGGTACATTAATCAGCTCAGGCTGCCATAATAAAACACTACAGACTGAATGGCTCAAACAACAGACATTTATTTTCTGGAGGCTGGAAGTCCAACCTTAAGGTACCAACAAGGTTGGTTTCTATTGAGGCCTCTCTCATTGGCTTGCAGATGGCCACTTTCAGGCTATGTCTTCATATGGACTTTTCTTCTGTGCTTGTGTGGAGAGAGAGACTTGGTATCTCATCCTCTTCTTATAAAGATGCCAGTCCTAGGTGCCTGTGGCTCAGTTGGTTAAGCGTCTGACTTCAACTCAGGTCGTGATCTCACAGTTCGTCGGTTTGAGCCCCACATCGGACTCTGTGCTGACCACTCAGAGCCTGGAGCCTGTTTCGGATTCTGTGTCTCCCTCTCTCTCTACCTTTCACCCACTTGCACTTCATCTTCTCCCTCTTTCAAAAATAAATAAACAGTAAAAAAAAAGATGCAAGTCCTACTGGATTAGGGTCCTACCTTTATGACCTCATTAAACTTTAATTAGATTCTTAAAAGCTCTATCTACAAATAAGTCACATTGGGGGTGAGGGCTTCAACCTACAAATTTTGGGGACACACAGTTCAGTCCATAACAATTGGTGAGCCCAAATTTATTTATTTATTTATTTATTTATTTATTTATTTTTTACAAATAGTTTATTGTCAAATTAGTTTCCACATAACACTCAGTGCTCATCCCCAAAGTGCCCTCCTCCATGCCCATCCCCCTTCCCCCCCACATCCATCAGTCCTCAGTTTTTGTCAGCATTCAAGAGTCTCTCATGGTTTGCCTCTCTCCCTTTCCCCCACCATTTCCGCCCTTCTTCTCCCCCTTGTTCCTCCGTCAAGTTCCTCCTAATCCTCCTATACGTGCAAACATATGATATTTGTCCTTCTCTGCCTGACTTATTTCGCTCAGCATAACACCCTCAAGGTCCATCCATGTTGCTACACATGGCCAGATTTCATTGTTTCTCATTGCCATGTAGTATTCCATGGTATAGATAAACCACATCTTCTTGATCCATTCATCTGTTGATGGACACTTAGGCTCTTTCCATGTTTTAGCTATTGTGGAGAGTGCTGCTATGAACATTGGGGTACATGTGCTCCTATGCCTCAGCATTTCTGTATCCCTTGGGTAAATTCCTAGCAGTGCTATTGCTGGGTCATAGGGGAGTTCTATTGTTAGTTTCCTGAGGAACCTCCACACTGTTTTCCAGAGGGGCTGTACCAGTTTACATTCCCACCAACAGTGTAGGAGGGTGCCCGTTTCTCCACATCCTCGCCAGCATCTCGAGTTCTCTGATTTGCTCATTTTAGCCACTCTGACTGGTGTGAGGTGGTATCTCAGTGTGGTTTTGATTTGTATTTCCCTGATGAGGAGGGATGCTGAGCATCGTTTCATGTGTTTGTTGGCCATCTGGATGTCCTCTTTGGAGAAGTGTCTGGTGAACCCAAATTTAAAAGAAAAGAGCTCAAGTATTAACTTTACCTGAACCCAGTTGAGTGCTTTTAGGCATCAAGTCCATTATGTTCTAGGAACTTCAACTTCTATATCTGTGAACTGTGACCAGTTTTTAGGGTTGTTGAGAGGCTGAAATGAGACCGTGCTGGAAGATATTTTATGAACCATAAGTTCCTAGGTAATAATAATGACTTGCAGTTTACAATGTGATTAAAAATCCATCAATGTCATTCAGCCCATGTGCAATGAATCATTATTGTTACAGGAATACCTAAAAGAGAAGCTTGTTACAATCCATAGGTACTTCTTACAGAAGGAATTAAAGGCAGCTTCTGAAGAAAACTCTCTCGCATGAAAGAATATTACCTATCACTTCTCACAGAGGCTGCAGAAAAGGCCCAGGAAGCTGTTGATGAAATGAATGACCACCAGGAGAATCTGGAGGAGGCTGATGCACAGAAGGATGGAGAAGAAGGACATGTGCCAGATGACAGCTTTAGAAGGCTCCAGGCAGACAGAGTTCCAGAGTGAGTGGTCATACAAATAATTCCTATCCCAAAAAATAAGGAGACCAGGGAGGGGTTGAGGAAAAAGAAATAAAAACCCAATAAGCAAACTCAGTAGAAACCTGGTGCCTCCCCCAGCCAAGGTCATAGGCCTAGACTTTTGAGGGTAACTATTGTTGCTACATCTGCAAAATTTTGAGCATCTTCCCAGACAAAGAAGATGCTAGAATGTGTGAGGAGTTTGTAGTCCATCTGTGTGTCTTTCTGTCATCTTTCTTTGTGTCTGTGAAGACTCCATCCATTTACCTGTTATGCAAGTCTTTGAATGGGTAACCATATTTCCAAGCTTGCGTCTGATTGAAGGATGAGGCATCAAACATGCAAAAAGGGCCATCTTTCAGGGCTGACCCGGAAGTGATAAAGCAAATCAAGGCTCCTAGAAAAGCCAGGCCACTGGATAGCAGAGCAGTGAGCATCTGTAGAGGGAGAGAAGAAGCCTCAAGGTGAGATAGGGTCATGACCAAGAGATGGTGATGTGGACAAGTCTA